ATAGAATTCCATTTCCAATTTTAGTGTTTGGTATAATTCCTTCAACTAAAGAAATGAATTGCACTTTTAACAATAATTAATAATGTAATATATTTATTTTATCTTGGAAAATGAAATATGAATGATAGAGAAAGAGAGTTGGGTGTGTACATGGGCGCTGGGCTGTGCTTGGGCCGGCACGGCTCAGGCACGCTTCAGACCCATTTATTTCGTGTCGTGCTTGGCACGGCCCGTCAGTTTTCGTGTCGTAGGCCCAGCCCGGGCCCGAGCACGGTTCGAATCATGCCGTGCCTATTCGTGCTCGTGCCATGCTCGTATTCGTGTTTAATGAAAAGGACGAAAACAAAAGAGAGAATGAAAAAGAAGATGAAAATTGGACGGAGGAAGATAGTATTAACGGATAATGTTTGAGAAAAGTAACAAATAAGGGGGAAAAGAAAATTGGAAGTATAGCGAGTGTGATTTGGATTTGTTTAATTCTTTGTGCATTTTTACTTATGTTAGTAATTACGTATATATCTGTATGATACTTGTAACAACAACAAATAATTATTTTTCTACTTGTGTTTTATAATATTTGAACCCATAATTCTTTTTATATTTATTTTCTATCAAATAAATATTATTTTCGTGCCATGTTCGTTCTTATACTCAATAAAGTCTCAAAAATATTAGGCCCGACACGGCTCACTTATATACCGTGTCGTGCCCGTGCCCATGAAGTTTAGGCCCGACACGACCCATAAATTATTCGTGCTCATCGGGCTGGCCCATTTATTTCGTGCTCGTGTCGTGCTAGCCCGTGGGCGGCACGGCCCGGTGCCCACGTACAGTAGGGTGATAGTTGTTCTATAAAATAATAATAAATAGTGATGGGACCCACTAATTCCATCTTCATAAACGCAATTCCTATCACTTTTGATAGGAATTGTAATTCCCAAAATTTAGCCCAAATGGAATTCATTTCTCAACCTTCTTATCCTTCCAAACATAAAATATGGAACTGGAATTGAAAATGGAATTCCAATTCCTGAGTTTTTGTCTATCCAAACAGGCGGTTAGGAAACACAAATTAAAAGAAAAATAAAGGTTGGACCCTTCTAGGATCCACCTCCCTCTCCCACCCACATTTGACTACTAGTTAAATGGGAAACCAAAAATTCATTTTTTAGGAGCTAAGAAGTGGAGGGTTGGAGTGAAAAAAAAAAACAAGCTAAAAAGCCATTTATAGAAATTTAGCCTTCTTGGTTGAAGTTAGTCTAAGTATGACAATAGTAATATAGTATCACTATGATAATTTCATGATATGAGAGTGGTATGATAGTATTTTGCACCTAATCAAATGATATGATTTTGTTTTGTCAAAGACATTCGCAAAAGGGAACAACTAGATATGAATTGGAAGCCTTTTCAGGCAACCATAATAGTACATATAAGAGAAAAGGGGCAATGGTCGACCAATAGCCGAATCATCGATAAGAGAGCCTTTTTCGCCACGCAACGAACAACTCTTTATACCTAGAAGGCATAGGTAATATCCATGGCTTCTATCCTATAAAGGGAAAAATCACCTGCAAAATTAACAAACAAATGGTCTCCAATAGGATCAAGGATTAACACTATGAAAATCAATTACTTGACCGTTGAGAAGGTTAGAAGGAAATGGAAGCACATCCCATAAAAGTAATAATAAGTATAGTATTGATAGGCCCAAGTTGGAAGCTCCACCGCTTTACCTTCGTCGGATGAGGTTGAAAGGTAACCACAGACAGCAGCACCTTACACGTGTCAGGAAGAGGGCAGCTAGCGGGATACCTCGCGCGCACGTACGTGCACATGTTGCCCTTGTTGGGATGAATAGCTTTGAAAAGCTATAAATGAAATTCATAATTAATTATCCAGTATTTTTTCATAATACATAAATAAGATGGATAATTAATAGAAGGAATATTATAGAGATAATTAGGAATAATTATCTTGATAGATTATATTTTAATTATGGGAGTAATTATCTCCCTAATTAAAATATGACTTATTCTCAAAGAAAGAGGGAATATTCTGGGTTTTCTACTCCTATAAATAGGAGAAGCCCCAGACCCTCTAAACACACCTCAGAAAAACAGAAACACGAGAGAAGTGAATTCATAGAGCTCCGGTTTTTCGCACAAAACCGATGAGCAACAAAATTAGAATGGCTGTTTTATCCTGGAGGCGACCGGCTGATAGTCTGCTGTGCGCAATACGAGGCAGTGTCGCGAACGTCTTAAAGAGAGCGACCTAGTCCACGACTCAGCCAGATCGGTAACCCTAATTTTTCTGTTCGGTATCCAACAGCCCTCGCTGGCACGAAGCGAAGCTGAGGTTTGGGGTCGGCGACGACCACCGGGAAGGCCTAGCAGGTACTGGTTAGTGCTGCTGGTGCGGAGATAGCCAATAAAGAAGCTAAGAACTCAGGCGACAGGCAGCAGAGGAGCGCAAGCGCGATAAAAAACGTCCAAAAACTGTAAAACACTAGAATTGATTCTGCATAGTAGAGATAGGCCCCCTACTTGGCCACATTGCACAAGGCGATTCCCAAGTCCGATTAGTCATGCGGATATTAATTTTCCCCCAAATCTAAAAACCTAAATGGGAGAGACGAAAATTCTCATACAAAGCCGATGACAACTGGGGAGGAGGAAGAAGTAAACACAACGTCGTGGTCATGGTGGGGGATTGGCGAGGGGAGAGGTCGGGGAGGCCGTGGAAACGTCTCTGGTGGTGATGGGAAATACAAGCATTACCAAATTATATGATTTGATACAATAGATATGAAATAATATGAAGTTTTATCTTTGAGCGAAAAAATTTGATATCGGTTTTAAAAAAGAAAGTTTAACTTAATGTCCATAATATCAACTTAGTGACAAATTCTACGGAACGAAGCCCTAACTCAAAATACAAAATCAAATTAATGCAACTCTTGATGAGACAGTAGAGAAAGAGATTTGTGTGGAACTTATGGGGCCCCAATTCAAAGTTCTAGTGGTCGTCCGAACCTATATCCTCGACCAAGAGCTGATATCACTTGTAAGTCATCCCTAGAAAAAAAAGACTTAGTATTGCACAAATACAAGGAAAACCTTTGACACCATTCGACACCGACACCTAACAATTGCATTCGATTTGACTCAATCAAATAAATTAAAACCTAAATTACTAATTGAACTTTTTTTCATTATACTTCATTCCCCACTCCATGTCTCAAACATTTTATGGTCGAATCTGTATTTAAAATTACTTTTATGTTACATCTCCAAATAGTTGGAAATGAGAAGAAATGGAAATAAATAATTTGTAGCGTCCTCTTGCACCTAAAGTTCATATTCTTCATTTGGAGATGCTTGAGGAATGGTAAACAAGCGTCATCCACTAGAAGAAGTGCGCTCTAAACTCAAAATGTCATGTGTGTGAGAACCTATATGAGTCTATCTTCTATTGTCTGTTTAGTGGCTCTTATGGCATCGATTCCTAGAATTATGTTTTCTCCTCGCTCCCACTCCCTTTCAAACCACCTTTTTCTTTGATTGGTTTGCTTCTTAAAGAACTTTTTGCACCCCCAAAGTCTTCTCAATGTGGTTTTCCTTTGCTGGAGCTTGTGGAAGACTTGAAACGAATGCTCCTTTTAGAAATCAAGTCTTGTGGCCTCTTACAACATCTGGTAATTCTTCCTGGGACTTCGTTGACTGAACATCATGTTTGAGAGACACCAGTCAGTTACCACTTCCCAATGTTCATTTTAAGAGAACCCGATCGTATACTAATCCATCCAAAACAACCCCCATGACGACTCACTCTGATTGGTCATTTTTAGTGACTCCTAGCAACAACTATAGTGTTGTGGCCATTAACAATCATGGACATGTATGTAATAAGCGAGCTGAAACTATTATTTGCTCTGCCCTTATTGAAATAGAATCAAAGGCACTGTTGGAGGACTAAAATTAGATCAAGAATGTGGATATGAGTGCATTGCCCAATCAGATTGTTGGGTTCTAGTTCGAGCTTTGTTGGGTAATTCCTTTTGAAGGCCATGGTGATGTAAGGCACGGATAAGCTTGATGGTTCAATTCTCAATTCGAACCCTCATATCAAAGTACAAAAAGTGTCTCTAAGAAATAATGTTATGGCTGATTGGGGTGCTCATTCACTTGCTAGATTTACTCTTCTGAATAACTGTATCAATATTCTAGATCTCATTTCGAAAGTGTTCTAATTTGTGGTCTTATATACTTTTCAATAGTGGAAGAAAAAATTTCAATAAAAAATTTCGCAGGAAAGGAAGTTTTGATATTTTTTCTTTGATTTAGCCTATTAAGAAGAAAATTGGTGGACCTTTTTTCTCTAAAATAGATGTGGCATATAATTTTTTTTGTGTGTGAGATGTGGCAAATTATGACCCGATGCGAACTCGTTCGAGAAATTAAAATTGGGTTGAAGTTTTTATAACCCAAACGACCTCAACTCAATTAACCCGCACTCTTTTGGGTTGGGTTGGGTGGGTTAGCGGGTTGATCCATTTAACCCATTCCATATCATATAGCACTCAATCATAAATTGGTGAGATGCTTAACAAAATTCACAAGGATATATGAAAGATAAGTTTGGAGCGTAGAGATGATCAAATATCACGTGCTTCTTGTAGTAGTATTACTCTCATGATATTTTTTTGACAATTTGTATTTCTTTTCATTAGCATGTGAAATTTTGAGAATATGTGAATTGACATTTGTTAGGAAAACTATTGACATTGACATGCATATATAGAAACCTGTGTTGTTTAAAAAAATATGAAGCTGGTTTATTCTTATTTCTTAAAATGCTCGTAACTCGAAATTAGCCAAACCAAATATGACATAACCCATGATGACCCGTAATTCGAGATCTCCAACCTCAAATTATCCAATCTGATCCGATTATGAGGTATATGACTAAAATTGTACGGAACCTAATTTCCGTGCGGGGGAATATTGTTTTCATTGCCAAGTGCCGAATGAAGTGAATAATTAATTCCAAAATAACATAGGGAAACACATAGAATTATACAGATGAATTGAACTGACTGCACACTTGCGGTAAATTGAAATTACTTCAACTTATACACCGATAAACTTTCAAAAAACAAAGAACATATTACACTGATCAGAGTATAAAGGTAAAAGGTAAAAAAAGTAAACTCGCTAATCACAATTGGCACTCCACATAAATAAAAAAAATTGTTAGAATAAACTCGCGCTCAAGAAAGAGTATTCCAAAATCCAAACAAAGGATCCAACCACTTTGAAGCACACATCAAGCTGCGGCGTTGACGGCGGTGCAAACCCGCCGGACTTCTCCCCGAGAACCCGTCAACGGCTCGATGTCGCCCATCCTGACCATGGCGGCAGCGAAGTCGGAGCTGAAAGCGGCGGGGTCCCTGCTGTACTCATCCACAATACCGTCGGTGGACCCGCCGCTGAACAACACCTGGTCGGACTGAAGCAGGCCCCTCCTCTCCACCAGATTCCTGAAGTAGTTGTTGTCAAACGAGTTGGGCGTCACCAAGTCCAGCGGCGCGAGATTGTCGTTGCCGTTGCCGGCGGCCGATGGGCACTGCTGCCTCCTCGTGGCGGCAAAGTCGGCGTCGATGTCGGAGGCGTTGTTGTGAATCCTGCCGCGGAACGTGGCGCACCTGGCCTGGCCGATGGTGTGGGACCCAGAGAGGGCCACCATGTCCCTGGCGCTCAGCCCTTTGGTGTCGAACCGCTCGACGAGCCTGTCGAGCGGGTCGTTGAACCCTGGGAGGTCGGATTCGGCGGCGGCTCTGCTGGCGTCGGTCGAATCCCTCCTCCCCAGGTTGACCGTCCACGTGGGACCATTTACTGCTTCGGACGCGTCGCGGGCTGCCACAGCGACGATGTCGGCGCAGGAGACGACCCCCGGGCACTGGCTTTCGAGCTGCGACTTGACGTCGTCGATGACTTCGTAGCCGCGGACGGAGTTGGCGTTGGGACGGGCGGTTCGCTCGCCGGTGAAGGAAGGTGTGTCGTCGAGGAGGATGGAGGCGTCGCAGCCCTGGACGAAACAGTCGTGGAAGTGGAGGCGGATTAAGGAGGCGGCCATCCGCTGCTCGGTTCGGACGGCGGCCTGGATGCCGGAGCGGATGGTGGTGAGTGCGGTGGGGCAGGTCGAGTCGTAGAAGTTACTCGATAGCTGGGCTTCCGCCGGGGAAGTGAAGAGCAGGAGAGACGCGAGCAGCATCGTCGTGGTAAAAGCAAAAGGCAACTGTCGGCGGCTAGTTAAACGAGACGCCATATTAACTTTGGGGAAGAGAAATCTGCCGTACAAAGGTTGTTAGAGAGGAATGGAAGTCTTGTAAATGATTGGAGAAGGAAATGAATGATTGAGATTTGAGAAAGTGTGTGTGGTATTTATACGTAAGGGGTGGACTTTGCTTTGGCCGTCAAATGCATGCAGATTGGAAAAAGTAAAAGTTGGAGGTTTTCTTTTCTTTGACCGGTAGGCGTAGACCCGCGTACGTGGAACTTTCTCCGGCAGCTAACTAGCTAGCGAGTCTGGAAGCTGCTAGACTGCTAGTTGCTATATATATATTAGGGGAATTAATCATCACCTTAATACTAAGTCATTAAGAGGTTGATCTTGCGACTTTTGTTCCCGAGAGGCAATTAACTAATTATTGTAACCCTTCTTGTTCTCTGCCTAATATTAACTTCATTAGAATCAAAATGAAGAGACCTTGTCAAGTAGCTACAGTAGAAGAAAATACGAATATTTGTTTGACTAATGATCAATAATACATGCATTTTACGTAATAAGTACAACCAAAACATTATTCCTATTACAAATGCTTGTTGTCTTTTGAAATATTTTACGTAACGTTGTAAGTGATGATTATCTCAATAATAGGTAAATGGTTTACAGGCAGGGGTTAGAGTGCTAGTACTAAATTCGTTAGTAAGTGATTGACAATTATTAACGAAGATTAATAAAGACAAGAACAAGCTTGTCATTATTAAAAATTATGAGAGGACACCCGTCTGTGGTGTTGTGCATTAGTTACGCCTCATCTCAAGTATTAAGAAACATACCACAAAATACATATTAGAAGTCCAACAAACCACCCCACAAATGAAAAACAAATTATACCAAAAAGATTATACAGCATACCATAACCCTACCATAAAATTCTTAAGGCATACCATAAAACTCATAAGGCATACCAAAATCTCACTATGCACAAAATTCATAAACTACACCATGAATAGCATTAAGCATACATAAGTTTATTAAAGCACACCACAAGTTCCTTGAAGAATACCATAACCCTCATAACGCATGCCACAAGTTTATTAAAACATACCACAAGTTCCATGCAGCATACCAGAAAACCTCATAATACATACCACAAGTTTCGTAAAGCACAATGCAAGCCTTTTAAAGCATATCAGAAACCTTATGACATTTAATTTATAATGTTTATTACACCGATATTTGATACGTTTTCCCCTTCTATCAATGTAACTTTAGGTGTTTTTACTTAAATTCATATGAATTAATATAATAACTATTTGATCAATGAGATTTTATTAGTCCTTGTTTGTGCTTTTCTATCTTTTTATGCATTTTTGGTTGTTTCTATGTATTTCAAGATAAAATACAACCTAGGATGATTAGGATCAACACTTGGATAACTTTGGAGGATCAATGAAGCACCGAAGTGGATTACCTCGGTTTCACCACCTAGCAACGCTTGAGTAACAAAGAATATGAAAACTTGACTAACATGATGGTATCTCGGTAAGGTTTCTCGGTTTGAAAGAGTTGGTCCTCGATATGGAAAGGTGGGCCGATTCTTTATGCCTTCTCGCCTGCCTTGAAGATGATCCAACCACCATCACCAATCGTGGTTCACGTCTTTCGAAGAACTATTTGAGACAATTAATGAGTTTTCACCTATTAGATGAAGCCCAAAGGAGGGGATGCCGACTACAAGTATTAACTGGAGCGCTCCAAGGAGAAGCTCACTAGAGGAAATTCATCCCAAACTAGAGAAGGAATTCACGGAGGGTTCAAGACGGGTCCAATCGTCACAAGTCCAAAGTCACTAATGTCACAGCCAAATTTTCAAGAGACGTTGCTTGGCCCAAAAGCAACCCAGTCCAAGAAGAAGAAGCACGATGGAGGGTACCGCCGCTGGGCTGTCACTGAGAGTCCAAACCCAAGAAGCTTGCATAAGCCCTTGCATTGTCCTCAAGTCAAGGAGTGCGAGTCCCAATTGTACAAGGATTGTTTTCACCAAATTTTATGAGTTAAAACCCTCGAATACCCGGGGCCCTCTATCATGTACTATAAATAAAGCCATACTTACCTTTAGAATAACTTTTAGGCAAAATACACTTGTATAGCCAAAAACATGCACTTTGTGACAATAATAGCCAAATTTTGAAAAATACACAAATATAACCATGTTTTTAAAACTTTGTTGTCAAATTTAGCCATTTTCGTTACAAATTTTGACGGCGTTAAAGATGCCGTCAGTAGTGTGGACGTGGCGCTGACATGGACTCTCCCTAATTGACATGTCATCAACAACATGTTGAGATGGATGCCACCTCACCATCCACATCAACTCTCAATTGCCATGTCAGATTAAATTTTTATTGATTTTAGAGATTATTTATAAAACATAATTAATAGTTTTTTATTAATTATGAAACAAAAATCCAATTATACTTGTCTTCAGTTGCTTGCCGCCGCTGCTTGACGATGTGCTGCTGCTCATCGGTGGTGTCGCTGCCGCCCTCTTCGTTACTAGCAGGCCATCGCGACCCACCGGAACAACGCGGTGAATCATCGGCCCATAGAGCCCTTCTCATGACTTTGAATCTCGATTCTCCCCTCTTTTTCATGAAATCAGGATAAACAAACACCACCAACACCAGATGCTGGTCCCTGCGCGAATGGGTCTTCGCGGCCAACTCCTCACGCTGGATCGCGCATCTTCCTCGACACAACAGACAACGATAAACTGAGGAAGAAATAGGCTTCGTAATTAAGGAAATCGAGACAGAAGGGACTGGGTTTGAGATGGCTTCGTCGGGAGATGCTTTGTCTCCTCGGGCTATTACAACTTTCCAGATCTCGTAACACTAGAGCTCAGAACTCTACCTGCTTCAATGGCGGTTCCCAAAATTGATTTCGATTCAGAGCTTAGAGTTCTTCCTCTTTCTCGCCTCGCCATACCAAAGCCATAAAACCCACAAGAATCCATTCCATAGAAATTTGATTCCGACCTAGAAACCTCACTATTTCTCCCTTCTCCCTCTCGTACTCTTCTTCCTCTCTCCACCTCCCACTACCTAGTCGTAACGGCGGCTAAAGACGAAGGAAATTCAATTGACGAACTCAGGTCGTTCTCCCCATGGCCGGGATTTGAAATCGGTAGCGACGGAGCCCAGGAAGTTTCGATCCCGCTGGTCGCTGCTACCTGTGCGAAAGAAACCCAATCGTTGGCAGTGATTCTTCTTCAACCTCTATTGGGGAGCAAGGAAGCAAGGTTGTTCTTCTTCAATTGCTCTGCTCCATCTACTCATTCTTGCTCTCTTCGACACCTCTACTTAGGAGAAGGAAATTGAAGACGGAAAGAAAGTCGGAGATGACGAGCAATGGAAGAGGAAAAGACAACTTTCCATGTTGTTTTTTTGTTTTTTCCATTAATTATAATAATATTAAAAGTTCTAATTCCATCTGTCATTGGGTTTGACAAAAAAAAGTGCCACATCATCAAACAGTATCAGTCCAGTCAGATCAGTAACGTTGCTGTTAAACTTTTGGACGGAATGGCTATATCTGTGTATTTCTCAAAATTTGGCTATATTTGTCACAAAGTGGATAATTATGGCTATGGAGATGTATTAAGCCTAACTTTTACACCAACACTCTGTTCCAAGGAAACGAGTTAGAGATTCATAAAGAGGATGCAAAGCACTTCTATAGTGCGACGAGGAAGTCTTCACCATTGATGCTTTGTACCATTGGTGATGTCATCTTACTCTTTTATGTCTAGCTAAGCTCGAAATTGGTTAGGGCTATGAATTCTATGATGTGTATATAAATTGTATGGGACCACCTTTTAATTAAGGGTACATTATTCTTGTCGTTATAGGTGTTAATACCCTCTCGTTATTGCTTTTACATATATCACGACAAGTGAACCCCCTCGTTACTGGTATTGAAAATTCAACTTGGGAGACCGCCAAAATAATTTCGTTTCCCGGGCTCTGTTTGTACGTTCACAAAGGAATGGATTTGAACTTAGCTTTAAACCCTTGGAAATTGGTAAAGTTATTTCCTCGCCTCAAGCGGTGGAAGCGCTCTCCCCCACTTCTTTACTCACTTGTTCTGGTCATATGATCTCTGTCTTTCTCACAACCCCTTTCCCGTCTCAAACTCTATTTTCTAATCGTTCCTGACTAAATAGCCAAATTGAAACCCGTCCTAATCCCTAATTCCTTCAGCCCTCCTTCACTTTCGAGCTCGCACTGAGGAGCAGAGAGCACCCATTTCCAAAACTCCTCTTCGGGCTTTGTCTTCTAGCGGTTCCATCTTCGTGCCGACGCTTCGAAGTTCCTCTTTCGTCCCCACTACTGCAGCCAACTGTAACTCCCCTATCGATCCCTTCTTGTTAGCGATGGATTGGGCTAGGGTTTCAAGTCTCCAATCCCAGCTTGATTCCCAATTCAAAGATTACAGAATCTAGCGCCCCAAACTGAGGTATGGAATATCACCTCCATGCGACTTGTCGAGTTGTGTCTTCTCGCTGTCGTCATTGGTCTTCATTACCAAAGGTAATTTACAGCTCTTTTGTATGATCTTCGCCTTCCCTTGCCCAAGTACGAGTGGCGGTGAAGATTCATGGAGCGATGGCTAATGGTTCTGATTACATAAATTAGGGGCTTTGCATCCCAATCTCTGGCTCTACTCTCTGATTGTTTATTGTGGCTTTCTGGTTTTTGTCTGATTGTTTATTGTGATTGATTCTAAATTCGTTTACCTCAAATTGCTTTACTTTATTATTTTGATCTTCACATGGAAGATGCATAACCTAATTTCTTGGCTTATTGGAGTTGCTCTCGCCAGCTCCATAACTCACTCGGACAATGGGAGAATGAAAGATACAGAACCAAATTTCTAGGGTTATTGAAATTACGCTTCTCTTTAGCTAACTCGATCTCTGGTTTGACTCTCTTTTTTGTAGTTGTGTGGATTTACTGATTCGACTCCGATGCTTTGGAAATAAGTGACCATGGGACATGTTTCTCCTCTTTCTTTGTAAGCTCCAATCTTTGAGAAAAATACTATTCTCATTTGATTCTTGTCTGGATTTGATTCAACTAGACCATTGCATTGTTTTGTCTGTTAGTCTAACAGTAATTAAACAGGGGGAGGTTGGAAAATATCTTGGTTAGAACAAAGATTAGAATTGTACTGGAGAGGGAGGGCAGAATATAGAGAGCAGCTGAAGCTCATGGAAGAAGCTAACCTTTCGGGAAATGTGTAGCTTGTTGGTAATAATTGGATTGAATGTTGTACCCTTTTCTGGGTTTCTTCTTTATTCTTGATCATTATGACGTCCATATTTCTTGACCTAGAGAGTTGAGAAAGGATTGTAAATGCACAAGTTGGACTTCACTGGGTGAAAGCAAGAACAGATGGTGGTTGTTTTTGTTTAATTTGGCATATTATTGGTGCCTACTATTATTGGTTGTTTGAATGAGAGCACTTGTTGTCTTTTGTAGGTAAATATTCTTTAAGTGTTCTAATTGCAAGTCCTCTAAGGAGAGTGAATTTCTTATCCTTACTTTGAATGTTCTTGAAGCTTTGAGAAGATAACTTAATTTTCCTTTGCTTCCTCTGTTTTCTTTTTTTGGTAGAATGTTTCCTCTGTTTTTGTTAGCTCTATCCTTCCATAACTTTATTCTCCATCTTTAATATGTCTATCATCTCCTTATAACACTCTCTCTCTCTCTCTCTCTCTCTCTCTATCTATCTATCTATCTATATATATATTGAGTAACATCACTTTGTTTCCAGTGCTTCAGCAAGGACTTGGAACCACACACGTTAGGCTCGGGGATAAAAGAAGAGTGCTTCAAGAAGTTGAAGAAATGAATGTTATGGCTCCCACCCACTAAGAAAGCTAATATCTCTCGTTTGTATTAGGTGTTAAATTAGTTATTTGTGCACATGACATAATCTTACTCTATTTGTTTTTACGTACCTGAGTTAATAATATAAATGATGACAATTGTTTTTATGATTAAACTTTAGAAAATAGGTCATCCTCGTCATTAGCGATTCATTAATGATGAGACTTTTGTTAGTTGCAACATAATAACTACAGGAATTCTATCATTTGCTTATATATTAATGACGATAATTCTTGTCGGCAATACCAATGATTCTACTTGTAAAAATTGATTTTTAACGACTGGAAGAAGTACAATCGTTGATACTTTCAACGACCAGACACAATTTTCCCGTCGTTATTAACTTTTACCGGCAAAGCCTATAATGAGAGGTCCTATCCTGTCGTTAATAACCTTTCCCGACCGTTTTTGGACAACTAATTATAACGACTGGTTTTGACCCTCGTTAAAGCCTCTCTTTTTTTGTAGTGGTATGTATCTTTCAATGATTTAATGAAATGCCTATGTCATTTAATGCTTATAATTCTATTTTCTACTACTACATGTATCATTATAAAATGATCTAGAATGTTAGGAAATTACTTTCTTGTGATATCTCATTGCTTCATGCATGCTTGTTTAGTTGGACACGATTATGCTTGTATACATGAGATCAATGCTTGATTGTTAGATCATCGATGTTGTACTCCAAACTCCGTGTTTTTGGCTGTCTTTGTTTTCCATGGCTCCGTACCTATAGCTCTCATAAACTTCTTCCCCACTCACGTCCATGTGTCTTCCTTGGTTATTCCCACCAACAGAGTGCCTATAAGTGTTACGATCCTGCTACCCACCGACTTTTCTTGTCATGTCATGTTGTTTTCATAGAACATGAGTTCCCTGGTTTCTCGTCCACACCACCCAGCCGGCCAGCCCCTCGTCCCCTATGTCTTCTACGTCATGGATGGCCGCATGTCTCCCGGTTGTGTCGCAGCTCACACCAACTGTGCTCTTTCTAGAGCTCATGTGCACAAAATCTACACTACACTTGCTTGTCGCTGCCCTTCATCAGATTGGTTTTTAATTTAACTTCATACGGCTGCCGGAAAATGTTGGGGAAAGGGAGAGACGGTGCTTGCTTTTCTTTATTTAAACCTCCTCTCCTCTCCTCTCCTCTCCTCTCCTCTCCTCGCCCGCGGCCGCCATTTATGAATAGTGCGTACCTCTCAATTGGATTCACATACATGATTACATATTTACCACTCAATTCTACTATCTACATCAGAGTCCTTCACAGTTCACACTTACTAACTGGCCTTGCAGTGATTCCTTTTTCATTCTATTTTATTCATATATGTGTAGATATATAGTATTAACACTGACCACTTTGTTTATGGTATTCATTAGCTGGTTAACTGTGTTGACGTTTTCAACCCTCTGACTTTATTATCTCATTAAACCACCAACAGGCTTAACCCGCATTAAAATTTTATAAATAAACGATAGGTCAGTTTGGTAAGAAAGTTGAAGGGAAATCTAAACAAGAAATGGTACATACCCGTCGCTTAAATATTGAGCCATATATATATATATATATATTACTAGAGATCAGATACATAAACGCGTTAATAATATCAGAAGCATTCAGCTTTGACTTTCAACGTTGGCCACTATATCACCCATGCAAATAAGCACTTAGGGCGACAGTTAGCAACTCTCTAACAATTTCAGGCATGAAATTTATCAAAGTCGAATTAATCCCAAATATATATAATGGTTCAAAAATTCATTCATATAATTGATGAGTCAAACATATGGGTAATTTACTAATTTTGTATATGTCAATCTCGATCGCACCTTTCTTTTCATCAGAGGGTGCCTGCTGTCCACACCTGATAGAAGTGTAAAAAGTGCTTTGGAGTCACCTATTTTGGGGATAATTAGTAAAATACGATATGGAAAAGTTACGTATAAAGTACGTACGAGTATTGTACGTCGTCTCTAAACTAATTTTATGTTTAATAGTACGTTAATAGTGATAAATATATAAAATTAATTATTTATTAAATTAAATAATTATATAAATAATAGTAAAGTTAACAAGTTAATTCATTAAATACGGATATTAAACGTGTTATACGGAATTTATACAGGAGCCATCAAATGAACGGGAAAAATGAAACGTCTTGACAATAATACAAATCCAAAAGTTTTAAATAAATAAAATACGTACGGATACATATACGTGCATTAAACGGATTATTTACTAACTATTCTTGGCCATAACACTTGCCACTTCCATGACCTCTTTCCATGAGCTAGGCCGGCCACATCCGCATAATACTAGAAAATCTCGCAGATAATATACTTCAGGATAGTAAGGACAGCAGAAGAAAAGAAAGTAACGAGCTTCCCTCTCCTAGCCCCACAACACACAATAACGTTTTAGCTTCCCCCAATCATACAACTTACCTCTCGTGTTTATTCTATCCAAAATAATAAGCCATATGTTAGAAACCTGTATATAGGAATACAATACTTCTTCCCGGCCCGCACAGAACATTATGCCACTCAACAACAAGCTTCTTCAAAACCAACAACGATTGCTTTGGTTAATTGGCTTTTTGTTTGTATACTACGTACATGCAAACATTACAAATTTTATGCAGTTACAAATTTTGAATATATATAATACGTTGTATAAAATAATATCACAAAGTATAGAAACTAGATGACGAAGTATATATACAAGATTACTATCTATACAAAAGCAAATTACACATGATACAAAGATGATAAAAAAATGTTTATAAACTAGGATTACATAGCATAGCATACAAATCTTATAACATGTAATGTATAGAAAGTAAAAGTACTTGGTATAAAACTATAGTTACACAGTATAAGAAGCTAATCACAAAACTTACAGAACAGATCATAGAATATACAAAACAAACAAGAAAATATATAAATTCCCATCACTTCCTGTTAGAAACCGAACATAAAATTTAGGGTTACCGATCTGGCTGAGTCGCGGACTAGATCGCTCTCTTTAAGACGTTCGCGGCACTGCCTCGTTGTTCGCACAACAGACTATCAGCCGGTCGCCTTCAGGATAAAACAGCCACTCTTTTGATTTGCTCAGCGATTTTGTGCGAAAAACCGAACCTCTTTCAATCTCACTCTCTCTCGTGTTTTTGCTCTTCTGAGGTTTGTTTAGAGGGTCTGGGGCATCTCCTATTTATAGGAGCAGAAAACCCAGAATATTCCCTCTTTCTTTGGGAATAAGTCACATTTTAATTAGGGAGATAATTACTCCCATAATTAAAATATAATCTATTCAGATAATTATTCCTAATTATCTCCATAATATTTCTTTTATTAATTATCCATCTTAATTTCGTATTATGGGAAAATACTGGATAATTAATTAGGAATTTCATTATAGCTTTTCAAAGCTATTCATCCCAACAATCCTCCACTTGAATAGTTTGAAACTATCTCTGAGCATCAACAGTTCCATAAGATCGGGCATAAGCTAAGGTATCGCGAAAATTTGAACCTTAGAGTATAGATCTCATTAAGAGTTTAACTCAACCTCCAAGGCTTTGGGATTCATGCTTCACTATGCATGAAATTTTCTCAATATTACTCATGACTTGTTATTACCCATTGAACCCGTTTTTTGGGATCTCCAGTCTATCGGGTCGGGTTACCATCACTTGTAATCCATGGTTCGGTAGGCATAAGTCTCATACCTTTCATGGTATTTTGGACTTTTCTCTCTAGGTGATCCTTTTGTCAAAGGATCAGCTAGATTCTGTTAGGATCTTACATGATCCACCCTCATGCTCCTATCGTTAGGAGATCTTTTACAGTACTGTGCTTACGACAAATTTGTCGTCTCTTTTCGTTCTAGAACCGGTTCCCTTCTTTAGTAATATCTGCGGTGCTATCACAATGAATAAACTACCGGAGGGATCGGTCTTTCCCATAAGAGAATCTCTAGTAATGATCCTCTCAATCAACTTTTCTCTTTACTAGCCATTGCTAGCTCTATAATTTCTGATTTCTTAGTTGATTGAGCCATGATCGTTGAATTCTTAGAGTTCCAAGACACAACTCTTCCAGTGATGTTTAAAACATGACCACTGGATGCCTTGGAGTCTTCTATAGAGTATTATCGTCTGCATCAATATACCCTACCAATACAGTACGAAACCGTTGATAACTTATATCAAGGTCTACTATTCTCTTAAGGTGTCTCATGACCCCTTTCAATAGCATTTCAATGCTTCATACTAGGACAATCAGTAAGCCTGTCAAGTACCCCCACCAAATCGGGTCTCATGTTTACTAGCTGCCTCACGCAGACTGTCGATGCTAGTATATTCTAACTTTCTCAGTTTCTCACACTGTTTCCAGTGTTCTTTAATATTTACACTAGCATCATCAACCATTTATGTAGGCATACTGCTTGTATTTCTTCTAGATCTTAATTATGTAGTTAAACTGATCTAGAGGAAATCTATTCATTGTCATAGTTACGTGGATCTCCTAGCTTACACAAGCTTCATCGAGAGCATTCAAAATTCTCAAACATGGTTTTTTCATATCAATGATATCATGAGTCTTTGTACCAAAGATCAACATGTCATTCATAGTGCACGCGCCATTCTTAAACTTGTACTAAATGCACTTGTCATTTTCATTAAAACCATGAGAGAGAACCTGATATTCATGCCACTGTTTTGAGTCTATTTCAAATCCTATCATGATTTGTCTAACCATAGACTCCAGAAGCATGTTCAACAATAACAACCTCTTAGGTTGTCCCAAGTAGATTTCTTTATCTAAGTCACCATTCACAAAAGAAGTTTAACATCCATATGATGGTTGTTATTCTACAATATTGGTGAATAGATATCGAAGAAATCTATAATTTTTCCTCTTCTACTAAAGCCTTAGCTACTAGGCGATCATTATACTCATAAACTAAACCACTAGGTTTCAGTTTTTCTTTTCGGAATCCATTTATTACCTTGGCTTCATTTCCAGGAGGTGATTCTCAAAGATGTCAAATCTTGTTCGGTTTCACCAATATATTACCCAATGCTTTACAACCAAGAGGCAACTCTACAAGATTCTAAGTCTTACTAGACTCCATAAATTCCATTTCGTTAATAATGGATTCTCCCACGAATCTGCATATATATGGAAGTTCAAACTTCAAGCAGACTTGTGGGATCTTTCTTAGGGTGTAAATAACAAATTCATAACCAAAATCCTTTAGTGATTTATGATTCATTTGTCTCTTATGAGCTCATACTCAAATTCATTACCCCCACTAGTTCCATTATTTCTAATAGCAGGCAAGATATCACCCCCACTATTTCTCGATTTAAATGGAATGACCTTAATGGATTCTACACAATAATGAGTATTTCATTTCATAAGCTTATGTTTTCTATTATTGATAGCACAATCAATAAAACACTTTCAAGCTCATCCTACATTGCACTGACTTTCAAACTACACCATATACTTTCAAACTACACCATATGAAAAAGCATTTCATAAATAACGTTTTACGTTAAAATCATGTTAAAAGCATCACATCTTTAATTAGTGCAATCAATAATAATGTGATAAAGTATTTCACATTATTCTCATTCACCCATTTCAAAATGAATCAAATCCAAAGATTCTGATTCTCTAATCACATATTTAAGTGTCATTTTATTTTATCATCATATGCATACTCTTATGACGATGACCAATAGTGGAGCGAGCAATACTCAAAAACACTTTCTTAATAGCATATGTCTTAGTATGCTTCGAGATACCAGTATTCAGTCATCATTCTTCAGAGTTACCAGCAAGGTTAATCTCTGCTCTTTTGAAAATCAATACAACCACAAATCCTCCTTTTCAATCAAGTTAACACTAGAACCAGTGTTATACTTGTTCCTACACTTTCGTGTCATATGACCTAATTTCTCGCAACTATTGCAGAAAAATAAAGCGTCATACTTAGAGGATTGGCCGATGATCCTTTAGTTACCACGAATGGTATCATTCTAATTGGTGTAAATCTAATTTGGTTTGCTATCCTGATTCTTGAACCTTATTAGGGTTCAGAAACGTACGAATGGTTCTCATAGTACTGACAAACATTACTTCTTATAAAATAAATATGGGCGTGTAACCCATTCCACTAGCATATTTACTACAGAATATACATTCATATATGCCACATCTCAATGTCAATATGATCGTGAATGATTATCGTTTCTCTAGCATTCTCAAAATTTCTCAATTGCATGCATAGAGATATATGGAATAGATTGTACCTCCATTCATTGATAACTTAAAAAAAAAGGTTTTAGTTCTTATCTCTTTTCAACGGGATGCTTCAGCACCTCCTCGTTCTTTGGCGTGCTAAATACCCTCTACTTCCTTTTATTTCATCTGCCACCATAGAGGAGCCCGGGAAGTGATCGAGTGTCGCCAATTGGTCTCAAGTTTCTTATTTGGCTTGATAGATTCTTACACTCATCGTTACTTCTGCACTATCAACACTTGCTGTGGCTACATTATTATTACTATAATGAATGCCCTGCAGAGTTGCTATGTACGGAGTAGTACTAGCAACCAAAATGATTCGTTCGATTCCAAAGGGCTTAGCACAAATTCCAGCTCCCTGTTCTTCTTTGCCAACGGAAGCAACAACATATGCTTTTTTTTGACAATTCAACCTGCAGTTGCTAGCGGGCAAAATTCTACTACACATGCTTATGCTTCGTACTCCCATAAAGATCAATTCAATATTGCGTCAAGATTTAAAACTCAATGGTAGCAATTAATTATGAGTTTGACACCCCAAACCTCCATGTTGTTTGATTCAGGTTCCATCCGGTCAATTGATCGCTGGGCAGCCACTATTTTGGGGTATTGAGCGATTAAACCCAAAACTCCCACGACCTTGTATTTTGGGTCGAGTACTTCCCCTAGCTCAGCGTCATTTGTATCAGAGAAGAGCTGTACCTAGCGGCGAGGAGACCGGCTGTGGGGTGCAATTGATATCCAGCTGCAAGTTTAATTATTGCTCCCATCAATTTCCCGGATCATGAGAAAAACAACCACTACCCTCGCATAATTTAATGGCATTTTTCTTCTCTTGCTCGTACAACTGCAAGTAAGCTACAGATGAAGTTTTCAAGCTGGTCCCAAATTTCGCAATCGGATAGGGTTAGACTGTCCTATCCAATCAGGCGGCTGCTTTTGATTGCTCTTTCATGATCTCCGCCACTAACTCCCCTGTTCTTTTCATCGCAGACATAACCAGTAGGGTAAACAATAAAAGAACGCGAAAGGGTAGAAAATTGTATAATTGGAAGGGAAATTCCCCAATCTCCTCACAAAGCGTGTTCTTCTTCTTCCTGACCGCCCCAGCATCACAGCGACAGTCTCCTAGTCATATCCCTCTATCTTGCCGAGAGAAACAAAAGAAGCGGGGGAGTTGTGCTCACGAATCCACGATCTCACATGAGCCAGAATCGGCACTCTATTCGATAAAAATAACAGCAACCAACGTCTTCTTAAAGTTGTTAGAAACCGAACATAAAATTTAGGGTTACCGATCTAGCTGAGTCGCGGACTAGGTCGCTCTCTTTAAGACGTTCGCGGCACTGCCTCGTTGTTCGCAGTACAGACTATCAGCCGGTCGCCTTCCGGATAAAACAGCCACTCTTTTCATTTGCTCAGCGGTTTTGTGCGGAAAACCGGAGCTCTTTGAATCTCACTCTCTCTCGTGTTTTTGCTCTTCTGAGGTGTGTTTAGAGGGTCTGGGGCGTCTCCTATTTATAGGAACAGAAAACCCAGAATATTCTCACATTTTAATTAGGGAGATAATTACTCTCATAATTAAAATATAATCTATTAAGATAATTATTTCTAATTATCTTCATAATATTCCTTTTATTAATTATCCATCTTAATTTCGTACTATGGGAAAATACTAAATAATTAATTAGAAATTTCATTATAGTTTTTCAAAGCCATTCCTCCCAACACTTCCCCTCCCTCCTTTGATATCCTTTCTTTTCTCCTCCCCTGCACTTCCACAGGCTCATCTCTACATCTTTCTCTCTTCCCACCGTTGTCTTCAACCACTATCTCTGGTTTAAGATCAATTAAGCAAATTATTATTTTGTTTCTACGTACTAAACACGTAGATTAGTTATATAATTATTTTCTTACCTTTTACTTACAAAATTAAAACCAGAACAGCAAACTAAATACGAAGCTAACCATATATGACTAAAACAACACACAAGACACCCGATCATTAGTCTGATCGATCGCCGCCATAAATAAACATGTGTTTGGAAAGAAAAGTTGAAAAGGTATAAAAAGGATCGTTGATTATTGAAAAGTAGTTAGCATGTGGTTGTACTGAATAAATATTGGAGCCATGCATTCGCAAAAGAGAATAATTACACAACATGATGGAACGCGGAGATTATAATTATTATAGGCCTCTGAACCGAAAAGCAAAGTTAGTGCAGGAAATGTGTTACATAACACAAGGCACGGGTAATTTCCAACTATTTTTGTAGGAGCACTAGACTAGACTCGCTGTCGCTGGCCGTTGCTGCCCATCAGTTTGGTTTTAGTACGTTTCCTGGCAAGTGCAGTAGAAATTATTTCTTTCCTTAAATTTTATTTACCCTGCTCTCCTCGCCCGCCATTTATGAATAGTGCTTAGAGATGATAATGGGTTAGGAAAAGTTCTACTATGCTTTAAAGTATTAGTGTACAATTTGAAGTTGTATTATAACGTTAAATGTATAAGTTCAAGTTTTATTATAAAGGAATTTGTACACTTATGTTATGGTACAACTTGAAGTTATACCATCACATAAAGGTACAAGTTGAAATTGCACCATAACATTAAAGGTACAACTTCAAGTTGTACCATAAAGGTAAAAACCTATAGCACCAATGATATATAGCATTGTAAAATTCCTCATAGGTTAAATTCGGTTGAATTTTTTTTTTAAACCCAAACCAAATGCAGCGAATGTACTCATTAAAAAAATATCGTAAAGTACGTACTTATTAGGTTTTGGAAGAGAAAACCCAACTCAATTCACGATACACATGGGTTTACTACTTTACGAACATAACTATATGTGTTATTTCTTCTAACACGCCTACATTGTAATGTTATCGAAATTTTTTTTTCTACAAATATATCTCCGTAAAGACTACTAACATCCATAAAGACTAACTACATGGGTTGCATTTTGGCAAAATCCAAACTCAATCCGCAAATTAAAAACGGATAAAACTCACGCCGGAATAAAAAACTGTCAATCCTGAATTTTACCGACTATGACTGTTTTAAATCAGATCGAGTACCCCATGAATTTGGATTAATTGACAACCCTAGCAGTGATTCCTTTTCCATAACAGCGACCACTTTGTTTATGGGATTAATGAGCTGGTTAACTGTGTTGACGTTTTCACATACAGACAAGCCTGACTTTATCCAATCAAACCCAATAGGCAACTTTACCCGCATATATAAAAATAAATAAATAAATACATATATAAGAGATGGAGATCGAGGAGATGAGTTTGGTAAGAAAGTTCAAAGGTAATCCAAGCAAGAAATGGTACACCCGACCTGACCCGACTCTCAATATTGAGCCAAATATTATATCCATACACTAGAGATCAGAAACGTACATTATATACGCGTTAATAATGTCAGAAGCATTCAGCTTTGACTTTCAACCCAGTTTCGTTGGCCGCTCCTATATAAAATAAACCCCGATGCAATGCAACTCTTTCATCTCATCAACTCATATCTCTCTACCCGAAACCCTATCGCTTCTCCTCATCATCATCGTCCTTCAGACTTGAGCACGTAGCCGTATAACAATAATGGCCACCTTCCACTATTTCCTGCTGCTACTCCTCGTCAGCAGTGTCGCTATTAACCAGTCCCAAGCTCAACTGTCCACAAACTTCTACGCCAGCTCCTGCCCCAACGCACTCTCCACAATACGAACCTCCATAAGGACGGGCATCGCCAGGGAGAGAAGAATGGCGGCCTCCCTACTCCGTCTCCACTTCCACGACTGCTTCGTCCAGGGCTGCGACGCCTCCATACTCCTCGACCAATCCCCAACCATCACCACCGAGAAAACCGCCCCACCGAACGACAAGTCCGCCAGGGGCTACGAACTCATCGACTCCGCCAAAGCCCAACTCGAGAGGGTCTGCCCCGGCGTCGTTTCGTGCGCCGACGTTCTGGCCGTCGCGGCGAAAGAAGCCTCCGCCTACGTGGGAGGCCCCTCGTGGGACGTGAAGCTCGGGAGGAGAGATTCCAACGCGGCATTTCCTGACGTGGCGCTGACCGACCTCCCGTTCTTCAAGGCCGACCTCCAGACTCTGATCGATAACTTCGGGGCGAAAGGGCTGAGCCCAAGAGACATGGTCGCGCTGTCCGGGGCCCATACTCTGGGCCAGGCCCAATGCTTCACTTTTAGAGACAGGATCTATAGCAACGGCACGGAGGATATCGACGCTGGATTCGCTAGCACACGGAGGCGCCGATGCCCGGCGGTGGGAGGGGACGATGCGCTGGCGCCGTTGGATTTGGTGACGCCGAATTCGTTTGATAATAATTACTTCAGGGATCTTGTGCAGAGGAAAGGGCTCCTTGTGTCTGACCAGGTTCTGTATAGCGGTGGCTCCACCAATAGCATTGTGGAGGAGTATAGTCGGAGTCCTTCGAGGTTTAGTGCTGACTTCGCTGCCGCCATGGTCAGGATGGGTGATATTCAGCCCCTCACTGGCTCTGCTGGCCAGATCAGGAGGATTTGTGGCGCCGTCAACTAAGATATTTGATAGCGATATACATTGGGGTTTTTTTTATAATGTTCTTATTGGTTCCAATTAATGATTTATTGATTCTTTGTAACCTGTAAATTTATGGGCGATCCTTGATTTACTTTCCTAATGTATTGTTCAAAAATGGTAAACGTAATTGGTTTTGGTCTGCTAGTTTATGCGTCTCCATTGGTGACATTTGTATATTTTAATATGTCGTATTGGGAATGACATATCTTCATAATTTTTTTTTCTAAAATTCAACTTTTTTTGTGGACCTACATCCTATAGGTTGTGAAGTTTTTTTTTTTTAGTTCAGTGTCCTCCAACCCAGCACATATATTTCATAAGTTTTATTAGATTGTGAAACCATTAAGAAAAAGTCATGTGTGGATGGTTGTTTTCTTCTTTACCTCTAGGCAAGGCAGCAAAAATATAAAATAATAAGAGAGGCAGGGGAAATACAGAGAGTAGTGGCAATGTGTGTCAAATTGACCAAACACAACGTGTAAAAGTAAACGGGACAAGCGATTTAATGTGGTATCCCCGACGAGTCGGGACTAATCCACGGGAGAGTTTGGAATCTTTACGGTTACTGTTTTTATTAGCTTGTTACTCTGTTACACGGCATATATAAGCCGATTACAACATATATTTATACCCCTTTCACTAGCATCTAGGGTTACATGAATGTCATCCTTGTCCAATACGGTAGCGTAATGGACTGCATGGGCATGGGCTGCCGCAGGCTGCATGGGCCGAGAGATGGAATCTGTCTCACGGGCTGGACCACTGTCTAATACTCCCCCGCAAGCTGGAGCATGAAGGTTACAAACGTGCAACTTGGAAAGTAAGAAACGAAAGCGATCGGCACCCAAACCCTTAGTGAAAATGTCCGCTAATTGCAAATGCGAACTGACTTTGAGGGGCGAAATGACGCCAGACTGGACGCGCTCTCTGACGAAGTAACAATCCATCTCCCCATGCTTGGTGCGCTCATGAAAAACTGGGTTGGCCACTATGTGAAGGGCAACCTGACTATCACAATAGAGTGGTGTAGGACGAGACGATGGGACGCCAAGTTCGGTAAGTAACCAACAAAGCCAAATGACCTCGCTGACCATAGCACTATATTCAGCTTCAGCAGAGGAACGTGCCACGACCTTCTGCTTCTTAGATCGCCAAGATAAGGGAACTCCGCCCAAAGTGATGAAATAGCCAGTCGTGGAGCGACGAGTGCTCTCACAGCCGCCGCAGTCTGCATCACAATAAGCAATGAGATGTAGATCATTAGTGCGAGGAAAGTACAGTCCTTGACAAAGTGAGGACTTGAGGTAGCGAAGTATGCGGAGAGCAGCATCCATGTGAGAGTAGCTAGGAGCCGTGACAGGATCTATAGCATCGGCTCCGATATTGAGCGTGAGTTCGCTAGCACTCGCAGGCGCAGGTGTCCCGCCGTGGGTGGGGATACGACGTTGGCAGCAATGGATTTGGTCACGCCCAATTCGTTCGACAACAACTACTTCAGGAATCTTGTGCAGAGGAAGGGACTTTTGGAGACAGAACAAGTACTCTTCTACGGGGCTCCACGGACAGCATTGTGACGGAGTATGACAGGAGTCCCTCGAGGTTTAGTGCCGATTTCGCGGCGACGATGATCTAAATGGGCGACATTCAGCCTCTCACCGGGCAGGGGCAGACCCAGGGGCATTTAGGGGTGTCCCATGACACACTGGGACACCCCTAAATACTGGAAGATCGATTATCCAACCCCAGATGGTAATTTACGTATAGACAAAAAATTATAACTAACAGTCTGGGACACCCTAAAATTTGAAAACGATTATACTACTCTCGTTTGTAGTTTGCGTATGAGATTATAAGTGGTAGTTTGGGTAACTCAAACCCGAGACACTACTATTACTAATAAATATAATTTCCATTAGGCTACAACTTTTTTTGTTGTTATATTCTAAACACTGTGTAATAGCAAAACCCTATTCTCTATCTTTAATTATTTTCAAAACCTAACAATTTATCTAATTACAAGCTACCCTTAATTTGTATTGATTTTATGGTTGTACGACAAGTGTTGAAAGTGTTTTTTCAACTTTGAGTTACATCATGAACAAATTTAGAAGTCAAATATGCGTCAGTTCGTGAATGATTGTCTAGTAGGATATATCGAGACAAATTTGTTGAGCAGTATAGACACAAAATATTTTTTATAATTTTTTTAGAATATAAAAATACATCATTGACTTTTTTTTAACTTGTACGAGTTGGGTATTTTCTTACCAAAGAATAATATAAATTTTATTAATTATTGATTATTTAATTTTTATTTTACTTTATTTTTTGAAAGATGACACCCCTATATAAAATTTCTAGGTCCGCCACTGTCATCAGGTCTGCTGGACAGATTAGAAGGATTTACAACACCGTCAACAACTGATCGTTACTGCCTATAGAATTTGTTTGATCAATTCATAGTTACATACCATTGTTTCATTTTGGATTTAAAATTTCCTTCATAAGCTGTAAATTATATCCCTTTAATTCTTTCCAAATTTATTAGTGATGTTCTGTTGATTTCCCAATAAAGTTTATTTTTATTTCCACGTTAATTGGGAGGTCTCCGGCGGGTATTAAACTTGTTTCATGCACATTTTTGCCTAATTTTTTAGCGCATTTGTACCTGAGGGTGACAGGCTACAACCCCTGAGTTCTCAATATTGTGTAAATTTTGGATTAAATCCAAGTTTTGTTCGTGAATTATTGGCCACTAGTTAATGATTCGAATTTGTTTATTTTTTGGAACATGACAGGTATAGGAACCATCGAAGGTACTAAAGAAACAAGAACAACAATTACTAATTCATCCGTTAAGATATTTCCGAAAAGTCGAAAACTAAGTGATAAAGGTTTTGTGAAATCTTCTAAAATGTTAATAGGTAAAAGAATTGGAGTTGGTTGTATGTATTTACCAAAATAACCCGCTTTATTTAGATCGGGAAAAGCATACGTTTTTATGAAAACATGTGCTATGGCTCGAATCCGTAGTCAATCCTATTTCCGATAGGAGCATAATTGGATATTTTTCATCCAATTCTATAGATTGAGCTAGCAATGATGGGATTTTCTGGCAACATAGTCTGTTTTGAGCACCCATAGATGGCGAACTTCATTTGTAGAGTTAATCCCTGACGCTGCCAAATAAATGAATTGTCTCTTGGTTCTTTCGCCATCCTGCCTAAAAAATCATTAAGATTTACAATCTTATGTATTCCCAGGTTCCCATAGAAATCATAAAAATAGGGCTTTGCATTCAACATTTACGTTTAAATTTTGTAACAAATTGGAAAAATAGAGCAGGTGGTAAGAATGTGGTCTCCTTCCCAACTTCAAATTATTTGAACGTAAATTTTTACCTCCTCACGTTCAGATTTCTGACTCTACCACTAATTATTTATGGAATTATCTTCAACACTCGATGGGACGTTTTAGTGAAGCTACGAGGAAAAGGGTATTGCAGCTCATCCTTGGATTCTTTCAATTCTTTCCTAATTATTACCATTGGTCATGTATTGCAGCCACTAGCTAGCCTCTGCTGGTACGTCCCGTGCGAGGCTCAAGAGTTATCACCCAGTAGTAACTAAATCTAAACCTTTTATTTATAAAATCCAAATGTAAGAATAGAGAATTAAAGACATTTTTATTTTTTCTTATTTTCTTAATCGGCTCATATCTTTTTTGTTTTAACTCGGATTTCAAATTTTTCTTTTTTTGCACAAATAGATAGAGTTCGTTGTGCTCTACAAAATGATATACATTTTCAATATTTTTTGAGAATTTTTTTTCTTGTCTCTCGTTACCAACTCCATACCATATGGTATCTTCTTCGTTTTGAAGTCGTTTTTGAAATTTTTTGCACAGAAGGAACGAGTTTATCATGATCTATCGGATTTACAAATTTCTGGGTGAATAAAATACAAGACAAAAAAAATATCATACAATATCACCCTGGTACGGGATGGTATCTTGCGGTACACAATGTTGAAAGTCGTAAATGACAGTTAGTATACTCCTACTATCATGTATTCAATTATCCTACAGTCTTGGTATGTTCATACCACTATAGTCCGCTTTTATACTATATGATATGCTCTTATTTCGATACCAGTTAATACCATATGGTATAAATTGGTAAAAAATTACTCAATTTTTTTTGTTCCAAAAATATATCAAAGTGGATGTCATTTTGAAGAGCACAATTAATCTGAACTAACTGTGCAAAAAAATTAAATTTCGACTTTAAACGAGTAATAAATCGTCCGTTAAAAATTAAGGAGAGAAAATTAAAGGTTTTTTAGAAGAGAAAAATGGCACTGATGTGGCGGATTCTGATTGGGTTATGCATAGCTATTGACCACAAGATTATTCACCTGATCCCTCCCCATGCAGGCATATAATATTCTTCTTTCTTTTTCAATTTAGTACTAAGGCTACTTTCCATCATTAAATGGAAAGCTAGATTGCACCTACGGCTACAGGTGTCAACTGAAAACACAGTTAAGTTCAATCCAATCAAAGCGGATAAAATCTGATTGTGTTGGCGGATTTAGGACCAAATATTGGTAAAATCGATTGTTAGAATTAGCGGTTTGAGTGCGGATTTGGCAAAAAAAAATTCCGCTTTCAACCTGACCGTAATTGTGAATAATTTATGTATGTTATTAGTCTTTATAGAAATATATATTTCTAATAATATAGATAATGATTGGTGTTATTACTGTGTATATATAGCAATATAATTGTAGGCAAAAATCGATAATTTAAGGACGTTGGTACATATTAAAGAATTATTCTTGGTTATTTTCTTGAACTTGTGAGTATCCATGCACTTGTGGGTACTCACTCGATTGGATTTTCTTTTTCAAAATTTCATGAATATTTTACTGGATTTATTTATAGATGTACCTGATGGGTTTGGAGAAAACTGGCCCAACCTTACCCATCACATCCCCAACTTTACCAGATCAGTTAGGCAAACTAATTAGATTTACTATTTGATGAACTATTTT